TTCCTTTGTGTAGAATTCATGCTCTGGTTGTAAGCTCATTGTAGAGTATGTAGATGTTAGCTATTTGTTTTTTCGCGTTTTTTTTTGTTTTGTTTTGTTTTGTTTTGTTTTTGGTATGTTAGTATCACAGTGGAAAGAGAAAGATAGGTGCTGAAATAAAATGCAGAAGAGTTACCAATTAGATAATTAAATCCTTTTATTTAAGCCTGTTGTGAGTCTGTGTATTCTAGTGTAAGTAGAGAATTAAGTTAACTAAATAGCTTGGGGTAGAGTCCACTTTGTCCTTGGTTGCCTAGGAAGGTTTAATTATGTGAATTGCCCAATTAAGACAAAAGTAAGTTTGTTCTCTTTATGTTTAATAATATAATCCTTAAGATTTTGCTTTTTCTTCTGTGATGAACACCTGATTTTCCACTTATGTTGTATATTATGTATGATTTTGTAGTTCTGTAAAATTTTATGGCTTTTGCATTTTCCTTCAATACTAGATACACAGTAAAGGTTCAGCGAGAGCTGGAGCTGGATGAATGTGCACTCCGTGCACTGAAAGAGGATCGTAAACGCTTCTTATGTAAAGCAGTTGAAAATTACATCAACTGCTTATTAAGTGGAGAAGAACATGATATGTGGGTATTTCGACTTTGTTCTCTCTGGCTTGAAAATTCTGGAGTTTCTGAAGTCAATGGCATGATGAAGGCAAGTCTTATTCAACCCAATATTCTAGCCTATGCTGGAAAAACTTAGACATAAGCCCCTTGAGGGCAGGGCTTTTGTATACCCCTTTGTATCCCTAGCACTTGGTTCAGTGCTCTACACACTTGATAAGCTCTAGATGATACAGGTTTGTGTGGAGGTGAAATAATTTAGGTTTGTCCTACATTTTGTCCTACATCTTTGCACTTACCACAGGAGAGTGCCCAGAATGGGGGGACTAGATTGGGGAATGTAGAAAGCAATTAAAGATGTTGTGATCACAGGTGGGTTTTTCTCCCCTGCTTTATGCTTTTATGGGGAGTTTTATAATGAATTATAAATAGAAA